GAAAATAAAACTGCAGAAGGAGGTGCCGGGCTCAGCAGCCTCCCTGTGGATGGGGACAGGGAGGCCCAGAGAAGAACAGGAATATATACAAGTTCACCCTGCCCCCAGGCAGAAGCCCAGGCTCCTGCCCCCACCCACTCATGGGCCTGCCCTCACCTCGAAGATCTCAAAACCAGCGATGTCCAGGACCCCGATGAAGAACTGCCGGGGCAGCTTCGTGTCCAGTGTCTGGTTGATCCGAGACACCAGCCACCGGAACAGCCGGTCGTAGGTGGCCTTGGCCAGAGCCCCCACAGCAAACACCACCTGGAGTCGTGGGGATGCTGGGCTGAGACCTGGCCAGGAGGACCCTTCCCAGCTGTCCCGGGTCAGCCCTGGCCTGCGAGCAGCTCACCTGCTCCATGCTCTGGCCCTTGGTCACATACTCGTTCCCCACACGCACTCGGGGGTGCAGAAGGCCTTTGAGGAGGTCCCCACTGTTGACTCCCATCAGGTAGGCAGCCTTGTCAGCACCTGGCAGGGCACATGGGTGGGACGAGGAGGTGGAACCAACAATTAGAGCACCTGGGGGCTCAAATGGCTTCAGCCTGGTATCAGGGAGGGGAGGCCAGGAAGGGTCAAATTCAGGGTCAACAGATTGTGCAGCTCAGGAGGGTGAGGGTCTGGCGTTGAGAGTCAGGGGTTACATTCAGGGCCAGTTTAGACTGAGGTCAGAGACTGTGGACAAGGGTGAGGGCTAATGGTCATGGACAGGACTTTGGGATCAGGGCATGAGCCCGTCCCCTCACTCTCGGTGCCGTCGGCCTCGGCCTGCTCCTCCCGCTGCTTCTGCTTGAACTTCATGTTTCCGAAGTGCAGGAGGGCACCCACGATCTTATAGCAGGCGCACTTCTCGTCCACACTGAAGCCCAGGATGTCCATGGCATGCTGCGGTGGGGACGGCAGGGTCAGAGATGTCTGGGCCCCTCCAGGGTCCAGCCAAGCTCAGGGCACTGCAACTGCTCCCTGATCTCTACCCAGCATCACAGGGCCCCACACTGCAGGCAGCCACTCTGCTCCCACCCGACATACGTCAGTGGCCATGAGCTCCTCCCCATCATCGATGTTGTCCACGGTGATGACGCCCTGGCTGCAGAAGTGGTAGTCGTAGGGGTTCACAGACAGAAGCAGCATGTCTGGGACACAGGCGAAGAGGGTGGGTCCAGCTGTGTGCACCTGGCTATCCTCCTACCCCATCCCAGCGTGGTGGGTCCTGGGGGCCAGCCCCACAGGAGAGTCTAGGGCCCTCCCAGGACTTCCACACCCCCATGTCCATGGCTTCTCTTTCCTTATGGTTCTCTGAGGCATGAGCCCGTCCCTATGTCACATCCATCCCTCCACCACTGCTCACGGCCACCCCTCTGGTCCAGACCCTGCGCTGGGCACAGCAAGGACCAGGCTCTGCCCTCAAAGAGCTTGCAAGAGAGGGGGCTGGGCCTAGGCAGAGCCATTGGCCCTTCCTTGGTCTGAGTGGGGTCTCTCTAGCTGCAGGAACAAAGGAGGGACAACTTTACAAGAGCAGCGGCCAGTTCCCTGAATGAGAGAGGGCTCAGCAATAACCAGAAGTCCCAGGAAGGAAGTGGGAGGGAACAGAAGGGACTCAGAAGAAAGACAGGATGTCACAGACCCCAGAAGAGTGAGGGAACAGACATCCCAGGACCTGGACTTATGGGGGACAGGCAGCTCTCACTCCCACCCAGTCCTAGGTACTCCCACCCTATCCATCCCTGGTCCTTACCCTGCAGCTCTGGCTTCTTCCCCGAGAGGATCTGGTAGTAGACATGGTAGCCACGCTCTCCGGGCAGCTGGAAGATCACCCGTGACTTCTCCAGGAGATCTGGAAGAAAGGGAGGCACTGGCCTACCATCTTCTGCACCTCCCCAGGGCGGGTCACCCCAATAGGGTTGAAGGGGCAGGGTTGTGGGAGAGGGGCAGGGGTGTGTGTAGAGGCACTGTCTGTATACATCAGCATGTACTAAAATGTGTCTCTTGCCCCAGTATGCTTTTGGCTCAGTGGATAGAGCGTCAGCCTGTGGACTGAAGGGTTCGATTCCAGTCAAGGGCACATGCTCAGGTTGCAGGCTCTATCCCCAGTAGGAGGCATGCAGGAGGCAGCCGATCAATGATTCCCTCTCATCAATGATGTGTCTATCTCTCCCTCCCTCTCCCTTCTTCTCTGAAGTCAATAAAGTGTGTCTCTCCGTCTTGCCTGTCACAATGTGGGAATGTGTGTGCACCCCCATGTGTGACTGTGTGTGGGTATGTGAATGTGGTATCTGTGGGGGGTATTCATGTGTCCATTCTTTCATCTATGCTTTCATTCCTTCACCCACAACCACACTCCTTCCTCCAGAGCAGTGCTGGTGTGTCAGCGTGTGTGTGGGCAGAGCTCCATGTGTCTGCACGTGGTCAGCGGGGCATGAATTATGATGTCCCCTGCCCATCACCATGTGTCTGTGCTTATTCATCAGGATCTGGCCAGGAATCCCCAGGTAGGGAGTGTCAGTGTGGCGGCCCCTCTGTGCAGGTGGCCTGGGCACCTGGCGTCTGTGCGGCTGGGCTGGGTGAGGCAGACGGACGGGCAACAACCCGACAGGCATTAGGAGGGGCTCCCAGGAAGGATGAGGACCCGATGTGCGATGTGCGGAGAGGAGGCTGGGCCGGATGGGCACAGGCCCACCCTATTAGGGCCAGAGAAAAGACTGGAGTGGGGTAAGGGCCAATCATAAAGAGCTAACTACCAAATAAGGATTTGGGTCTCCATCTTAAGGTGATAGGATCCAGAAAAGATTTCTAAGCAGGAACACAATGTGGTCAGATTAGTCTCCGTGAAAAGGTCATTCTGGCTAGAAGATCCAGCACAGGAATGGAGGCTGGGAGACCACATGGAGGCTGGTGGAATGTTCCAGGTGAGAACTGAGAGGCCTGAGCTGGGCAGTGGCCTGGGGATGGAGAGGAGTGCCTGAAACAGGCAGGAGCCAAGGACTTGAGGGATGCTCCGTCTGAGCAGAAAGACTCAGGCCGTGGCCTCTGTCCCGCCCCCGCCCTCCCCGCCTCACCCAAACTCACAGCTGTCAATATCCGAAGATGCCAGCTTCCCCGAGGGACCAAAGTGAATGCGGATGAACTTGCCCTGTGGGCAGGGGTGCGGTCTCAGTCAGAGGGGCCAGCCATGTTGCCCTATCAGCTGAAGGCTCCCGCGTCGCCACCTGTGTCTCCCTGCTGCCGATCCCGCTCCACCCACCCACCCTTCCCGCTGTGGCCACTCACGAAGCGGGACGAGTTGTCATTCCGCAGGGTCTTGGCATTGCCAAAAGCCTCCATAGCAGGGTTAGCCTCAATGATTTGATCCTCGAGGGTACCCTGGTGGGTGAGGTATGCTCGCTGACTGGGACCCAGAGCAGCCGCCCTCCCAGGTAACAGCCCATCCCAGACACCTCTGATTGGAAGGGGAAGGGCAAGCTCCCAGGACCTCATAATTGTTGCCTGCCCCACTCACAATGGCCCCATACTTACCCCAGTCTTTGTGGCCAGAAATTGCTGGGGGGAGAAAGAAGACAATGTTAGAGGGTGTGAGGTCTCAGCAGGCCAGGGCAGCAGTAGTTAGCAGGACAGTGAAGGTTAGCCCCCACCCCCGCCTCACCCTCCCAGGACTGTTACAAGAGGACTGCTAGAAAGTAGGAGCAAGCATGGCAGGGGGCTGAGTCTGGGGGAGTCTACAATTAGCAGCCCTTCCTCTCCCCAGCTGTCTCTGGCCTCTTCCATATCCCATCATTTCCCACACTCCAGGAAGTGGCCCCTGCCCCAAGCGCTGGAGGCTCCTGACTAAAATCCTCTTCCGAGCAACAGCTCAAATGCCCCCTCCTCTAGGAAGGCTTCCCTGATGCTCTATGGCTGGAAGAGATCTCTTTCGCCTGGACCTTCGTACCCTCACCTCCGTGAGCCCTTCTCCGCACCTCTCCTTTGCATTGTGATCAGGCACATCTTCATGGCGCAATTAATTTGTACACCTACTATTATTTAAAATGGCCCTGCCAGGTGCCCACGATTACCCTACTTTGCAAATGAGGAAACTAAGGCTCAGAGCAGGGAAGTAACCTACTCAAAGCCACACAGTAAGTGGGAGCGAGAAGGCACTGAGCCCAGGCATCTGCCTCCCACAACACCCACAGCCACCCACATGTCTCACCTAGAGAGACTTATGGAATTGAGAGGATCCCCACCACTGTCCTCTCCTAGCCTCATCCTTGTCTTCCCTCCCCTGGGTCCTAGCAGCCTGGAAGAGGCTGCTCCAAAGCGCTGGCTGAGGTTATGTGGAGTGGAGCTCAGGAACATGCTCTTGCCATTTCCCTTCTGCCTCCGTCCCCCCAACAATATCTCTGGGGGGACTGAAAGGGAGAGAAAGGAAGAATGGATTCTAAAGTGGCAGATACCATGCCACCAGCGGACTTTGGTTATTCACTCACCTCCAGGGAGCCCAAGACTGAAACAATCCCCCCAGAGATATTGCTGGGGGGACAGAGGCAGGAGGGAAATGGCAGGAGCCCATCCCCTGAGGTCCTTTCTGACCAGAGGCCTCCCTGGCCCTACCCTGCTCGCTCTGGCCTCTTCCTACCCACCATTCCTATTAGTGGACCAAGCCCCAACTTTCTGCAGCATCCTCACATGGGGTTTGGAAAATGGGGTCGGGAGAGGAAGGAGGAAAGAGTACCAAAACGTCAACAGCAAAAACAAAACGACAAAAACAACCACCACCACAACAAAAAACCAAAACTGAAATAAAAATAAAAAAATCAAGAAATTCAAATGGGGAAAAGAAAAAGGCAAAAAGAAAAAAGAAAAAAAAAACCTTAAAGTGCAGAAAAGAAAAAGAAAATTAGAAAAAAAAAATGCCCCAGAATAAAGCAAGGCTCAACAGGACCAGGAGGGAGGACTGACTGTGAGGGAGGCGGCCTTGGGCTCCGGAAAGAAAAGGCAGCCCCTTGTGGGGGCAGATGGGCAAGGAGCACCCAGAGGCCTGAGTCATTGGCCTGGGGGCTAGGAATGGATGTTGTACTTCAAACGCAAAAACAAAACACTGTCCCCCATTGTTTCAGAAACTTTCAAAAACCATACAGAAATCAGGGGGTGCAAAATCATCCCCTACCCCTGCTGCTGGGAATGCTACCAAGTGCCTTTGGCTCTGGCTAAACTCCTCATAAGCCAGCTTGTTTGATTGACAGCAGGTAACTCTCTTTGGTGCATGAAAACCAAGAAAATAATCACTTCTTAGCAAAAAACGGCCTATTTGGTAAACTCTCTCAAAATACGAAGGTCCCAAAGGGAGGGAAAACTACATAAAAAGTTTAGAAAGGGCGATGTGGTCCCACCCCTCTGTGTTACAGATGGAAACACTGAGGCAGGCCTGGGACTGGGTGGCACAGCATCGCGGAGGTGGCCATAGCTTCTTTGGTCAAGCCTTGCTCAGGCCAGAGTCCACCACCAAGGTGGAAGGCTCAGGCGGGGCTGGAGACTCTGGGGAATCAACATAAAAAGAAAAAAAAAACAAGGGGGGGGGAACAAAGAGAAAAACAGTGAGAAGCAGTGGTGAGCAGCGCCCAAGTGGGCGAGTCTTACGGCCTTCTTGCCCGGCCCGTCTCCCAGGGCAGCGACGATGGCAAAGTACTGAATGACCCGCTTGGTGTTAACCGTCTTACCGGCCCCCGACTCTCCGCTTGGATGACACAAACATAAGTCACCAATGCCCACTTGGCCACTCTAATTCCTCCCATCCCTCAGTGTCCCCCTCCACAAGCAGGGCCCTCTGCCCTCCCCAACCCAGCTCCCAAGTTAGGACCCCAACTCAAAAAACAAAAACCAGAAGAGATCGGCCCTCAGAGGCATTGAGTTGTTTACAAAGCAGGCCAGTGTAGATCATACACCCACCCCCGACCCCGAGAGATGAGAACACACAATGCCACCCTTTACTACGTGCAAATCTAGTGCCAGGCACTGGGCCAAGTGCTTTCTTTACCTGTATTGGCTCATTTAAGCCTTAGAAACAAAGGATCATAAATAAGACCCAGAGATAAGAAGGAGAAATGGAAAAGGCAGGCACCATCATCACCCCCATTTTATGCATAGGGAAATGGGGCTCGGAGAAGTTATATGACTGTCCCTGCTGTGTGCCAAGTATCTACATTAAAATGCTGACTCCTTGTAGCTCTGCATCGTAGGTGGGTAGGATTGTCCTGTTTTTACTGATGAGACTCAGAGGCCTAAGGACATCAGCAGGAAGAAGTGAACACAGAACATGAACCCAGTTCTATCTGGTTTCAAAGGCCTTGCTCTAAAACCAGGCTGCACCTGCACGTACACACACACTCGTACACAAACAATGTCCACATTGGCTTGGCTGGACATGAACTTGGCCTGTAAGAATTCTATCACTTTCCCATGGAGACAAGCAAAGGACCAGAAATAAGACCCAGATTTAAGGAGAAGGAAAGAAGGAGGAAAGGGAGAGGAATGCCCCTTCCCCTTAAGCCACAATCAGAACTCCCAGAAGATCAAGGTGGGGGAGATTCCAGCCCTGGAAAGAGGGGCTATCAGGCTGGTGGTCACTCTGGTACTTGGGTCTCCCTTTCCTGCTTACTGTCCATAACATGTCTACCCAGAACGGGGGCAGAGAACATGCTCTCATTTAGCTTCAGGCGGTAAATTTAGCTTAGTCTTGCCCTAAGCACTTTAGAACCAACCCTGGGATATGATTTTAGTTCCACTCCCTTCCTGCCAGATGGCCAGCATTTCCCACCCCGTCCCCAGAGCCGCACACTTACGTGATCAGCATGGACTGGTTTTCTCGGTCTGGAGGAATGGGAAGGAGATACAGACGTTAGCCACGATGGGGGACCAGCCACAGGTGGGGCACACTGGGTATCCATGGCACTGGGGCAGCCCTTCCACCAACCAGAGCCAGAAATGGGGAGGACCAGAGAGGACCCTACAGCCCGCAGGCCAGTTCCCACTCGGAGAGACAATGGCTATGCTAGAGCATCTGACAGCATCAAGGAGGGCAATGCAAGCGGAGGGAAGGGGTCCTTTGAAGAAGCTTCCCTGTAGCTGGGGTAGGGGTCTTGGGTTGGGACAGGAAGAGGAGTCCAGGCAGCCCTTACTTCGCAGCATATCATTGTAGGCGTTATCTGCCACCGCATATATGTGGGGTGGGGCCTCCGAGCGGCGCTTTCCCTTGTAAGCGGCCACCACGGAGGGCGTGTAGACCGGGAGCCATTTGTAGGGGTTGATGGTGACACAGAAGAGGCCCGAGTAAGTCTGAGGAGAAAGCGTAGAGATAGGTTGTTGGGGGCCAAGTTCCCATTCCCAGGCCCCAATCCTCACAAACCATAACCTTTGCAATATTCCCCAAGGAGCCACTTAACTATGCCACGCGATACCCTCTGTGGCTGCCCTCAACCAGCCTTCACTCCTGCCCACAGCCCATGTCCCCTTCTCCATGGCCCATTGTGGAGCCTCCACCCTCGCCCGCCCCCAAGCTGAAGCTCCGCCCCTAACACTCCCAGAGCTGAGACTCCAGCCCAGCCGTGGGCAAACTACGGCCCGTTTGAAATGAATAAAACTAAAAAAAAAAAAGACCGTACCCTTTTATGTAATGATGTTTACTTTGAATTTATATTAGTTCACACAAACATTCCATCCATGCTTTTGTTCCGGCCCTCCGGTCCAGTTTAAGAACCCATTGTGACCCTCGAGTCAAAAAGTTTGCCCACCCCTGCTCCAGCCCCATCTCCAGCCCTGTCTCAGCCCGTAGCCCCACCTCTACAGCCCCATGACATCACCCTGCTCCACCTCTAGCCCCGCCCCACTGCACACAGCCCCGCCCCTTCTCCAAGTCCTGTCCTCTAGCCCCGCCCCAACCATGCACATCCCCGCCACACCCGTGGTCCCTCCCCAACTCCTGGCTCACGTAGATCATCCAGCGAGCATAGCGCTGGCGTAGGTTGTGCAGCACTGAGGCTTCGTTGAGGTGCGTCATCATGGCCATGTCCTCCAGCAAGTCAAAGCGGGGCGGGTTCATGGGCTGCAGCTCTGCTTCCCGCACCATCAGCATCTGCCAGGGAGGCCATACAGTGGAGTACAGACAGCTGGCCAATAGCTGCACACTGGGGGGAGGAGGGGGGAAGGTGGAGGAGCTAACACCGGGGAAAGGGGCAGCAAAACCTTCTGGTCTTTGGTCTCCACGTTGACTCTGCCCCCAGTAGCCTCTGACTTGACCTCAGCCTCCACGTAGGCGTCCTGTTCATCAGGCACCCAGACCCGCTTCTTCCCTAGGTTGAGGGAGAACACTGGGGCTATGAGCTCGGCCGAGGCACACTCAGAGGCTGGGGGTCCATAGCTGTGCCCCTCCCAGGGTCCCCTCGGTCAGGACGCAGGAATACCCAGAGTAGATCCTTCCAGACTCGGGCTCCTGTCCAGGCAGAGCTGGGAGGGTCTCTAAAGATCTTCTGAGGGGATTCCCTGATGGGTAAGTCCTTCACTGCCCTGATTACACACTTGGGCTCAGATTCCTGCTTCTGCCACATGTGCCTGTGACCTGAGGAAAATCCCTCATCCTCGCTGGGCCTGTTCCCTCAATAGCAAAATAGTGTGGGCACCTCCTGGGGTCCCATGTGGAGCAGCCCTCCATGTCAGGCACATAATTCTAAAGGGGATTCCACCTCCTCCATTTCACTGAAGACTCAAGCACAGGTCTCCTAACTCTGTGTCTTGTGTATCTTCCTGCCTGGCCAGCTGGTCCCAGAGCTTGAGGGAGCCCATATGTCATGTTGGTTAAAGGCAGGGACTCAGGCTGCAGACCACCGGGTTCCGTTCCCTGTCCTGCCACTTACTAGCCAAGTGCTTCAATCAGGACCAGGTACATAACTTGTAGGCCCCAGTGTTAAAGTGCAGACCCCTTGTTAAAAAAAAAGAATATTAAAAATTTCAAGATAGTGACAGAGAGTTAAGTCAAACATGAGGCCTTTCTGAGGGTAGTGCCCTTTGCAAATGCAGGGATGGCACACCATGAAGCTGGCCCTGGCCCTGGTCCCCACCTCCCCAGGTTGTTGAGCTCATGCATGGAAGGTCATCTGCTCTGGGCCTGGCACACAATGGGCACTGCCTATTGTTATTATTGTCCTATGAACAAACCAGGTCATAAATAGTAGTCTTTATTCCTGTCCCTAATAAACAGAGGCTTTGGCTCTATGGAAAGCACTAAAAATAACTCCAGCACAGGTTTTTTGGACACGTGGAAGCAGCCTGCACCCTTACCAATCACTCTTACCTCAGAGGCCTCAGGTTCTAGCCACAGACTGCAGCTCTGATACTGTCCCATTTTACAGAGGAGCAAACCGAGGCTTGCTCACAAACACTGATACCCACAGAACTTAGTCTCAGGACCCCAGACTCCAAGAGAAAGATCCAGGGCTAACGCTGTCAGGCCAGAGCGCACGCTCCTTCAGCCCTGAGCTCAGTGCCACCCTCCTGGTCTAAGCCCATAGAGGCTTCCCTGTGGCTGTGGCCCCTCTGCCTTCACTTACCATCCCACGCGACAGTGTGCACCTTCATCATCTCCTGGTAGCCCTGGCGGAGGTAGCGGGCGGACTCCCCGAGTTCACTCACATCCATCATGGTGGTGGTACTGAGAGGTGGAGGATGAGGAACTAGAAATCTTGGAGGTTTAAGGTGGTCCAAGGCAGCAGACACTGGAAGATGGCAGTGAGAGAGGAACTGAGGGACCAGGGGCCCCAAATGGGGCATGACCCAACAATCCACAGGACCTAGGTGATTTCCTGGGGCTCCTCACCTCAGCCTCCCTGGTGAGCCCCCAACACCCCCCCGCCACACACACACACACACACACACACACACACACACACACACACATCAGAGCATCCTCTTCCACAGATATGAGGAGACTCATCCCAACCCATCGGTACCCTCACCCACTGGCCCACCTGTACCTCCTTCAGCTCCAACCCCAGCCCTGATCACCCACCTCAGTACCACGGTGAGGGCTGGGAGCTGGGCTCCCCCTTTTATTGCCGCCGTCAAGGTCAGTGCGGAGGAGAGCTATGTCAGCAATCTCCACGTGTCACAGCCCCCCCAGCCTGGCCACAGGACACAAAAGTCAAATTCCCTTTTATCTCCACCAGCACAGCCCCTGGGCTATTTTTACCTCCCATTGTCAGGGGAGCACAAAGGCTGAAGAGAGACACTCCACTGAGAGAGAGGGAGACTGGGATGCAGAGACTGACACAGGCAGTGAGAGATCTGGGGAAACTGAGGGGCTTGGGGGAGAAACTGAGTCACAGGGAGTGTGATATACCCAGAAAAAGACCCACAACTCCAGAACGGAGAGCAAGGAGACTCAGACTCTGGGACTATTTAGTCCAACTTTCTTTACACACCCCTGGGAACTGAGGCCCAGAGAAAGGAAAACACTGGCCAAATTTCACAGCTACGCAGTGTCAGAAGCCAGGTCAAAAAGAGGAGCAGAGAGAGTGAGCCATCCCTCTCCCAGCACCTGGATGCTGTCTCTTTACCCACCTCTACCCCCCTCTCCGGAGTCCCCTGGGGAAATTACACATAAAGAAAACCAGACCTGGGACCACAGACATAAAGGAATGCTTTGGCTAAAGAGAAAGGAAGTCGAGGACATTTAGACCAATTAGGAGCCCCTTCATACTCTGACATTCAAGATTCATAGGAAGCCCACTTCCCACTCTTAGCCCCTCCCGCACCCTACTTTCAACAAGGGTTGGGGGTGCTGGCACTCAGCCTGACAGGGGCCTTGGAATGTGTCAGGGCACTTCCAGGCTCTCCTGTCCATCATCCCATTCAGGCCCTGGTGACACCACAGAATTTTAGTCAGAGAATCAAAGGATCCAGGAACCTTAGACACTGGACACCCAGACATTGGACACACACTGGACAGAGGCCCAGAGCCAGGATTACAGGCAGACGTCAGGCTGAGCTCACACAGAGAAATCCTCTGTACCAACAGGCTACCAGTTCCAAATACACAGATGTATCTGTATTCCACAAAATGCATAGAAATAACTTCAAAGATACATTTTCAACCATACATACTTCAAAACAGGCAAAACTACTGTGTGATAAAAATGGAAGAGCGGTCCTTCGAGGGAGGGTAATGACTGCAGGGGGCACAGGAGCAGCCGCTGGAATGCAGGAAACGCTGTGTGTACTGTGCTGAGAGGCGGTTACACGGGTGTGTTCATTCTGTAAAACTATCTGAGCTGCATGCTTAAGATGAACTTTACTGCATGTATGGTACATGAAAACCGTGCTGCAAATACATACCATATTTAGCAATATCTATCAAAATTTCAAATGCCCAGACCCTTTTAGGAATTCATCCTACAGATATTTCCCCATGTTATGAAATGACTCCTTCGGTTGGACATGTAGATTGTTCTCGGTCATCCTGCCATAATAATCAGGGCTGTGATGAATATTCTGTACAGTCTGATGAATTTTCACACACACCCTGTTCAAGAAACCAAAATTACCAGCATCCCACTCACATGCTCTTCAATCATCCCCCCCTCACCTACTATCCCTACTTGTAATGTCACAGATTAGTTTTCCTCATTTAGATGAATGGAATCCTACATTATGTATTCCTTTCTTCTTTCCACGTTATATTTGTGAGAACATCATTTGGTTTCAATTCTTGCCATAGAACTTAGATGGTTTCTTGCCTGCCTCCTCACACTAACGGGCAAGAGCTTGGTCTAGATCAGTGGTTCTCAACCTTCCTAATGCCGCGACCCTTTAATACAGTTCCTCATGTTGTGGTGACCCCCAACCATAAAATTATTTTCGTTGCTACTTCATAAGTGTAATTTTGCTGCTGTTATGAATTGTAATGTAAATATCTGATATGCAGGATGTATTTTCATTGTTACAAATTGAACATAATTAAAGCATAGTGATTAATCACAAAAACAATATGTAATTATATATGTGTTTTCCGATGGTCTTAGGCGACCCCTGTGAAAGGGTTGTTCGACCCCCAAAGGGGTCGCGACCCACGGGTTGAGAACCGCTGGTCTAGATGCCCAGCACGATGCAGAGCATCTGCACATAACAGAAAGTCAGTAAGAAAATTCAAAATGTTGAATAAGAAAATTTACCAAAATTGATAGATCATTTATATTTTAGGGTCTTAATCCCCTTATGGGTCAGAGGCTAAGGATCTGGACCTGAGCAATTTACAGAAGACCCAGAGGGTGGGGAAAACTGTGCTCACTGTTCAAACATGCTCAGAAAGCAGGGCTTCTTGCCTAGGGCCCAAGCAATACAATTAGCCTGGAGAATCAGAACTTCTAAGAAGCCCAGCTGATATCAAGAATAATGTTGGTCTGAATTCTAGAAGTACCTGCTCAGTGTATAAACTTGGGGCTGAGAAACCAACCAAAAGAAATGGGTCTAGACCAGCCCTGTAAATTCACTCTAACTACCCATGGCATACCTTCTGCTGAGATGAGCTCACAGACAAATATGACAAAGCAATGAGGAAATCCAAGATGCACCTGAGTGAGACAACAAATGCTACAATCTCAAGGACTTAAGGTACCAACTTCATTTATTTATTTTCTAATAATATTTCTTTTTAAAATATATATTTTTATTAATTTCAGAGAGGAAGGGAGAGGGAGAGAGAGAGAGAGAAACATCAATGATGAGAGGCATGTACCCTGACCGAGAATCAAACCATGACCTCCTGGTTCATAGTTGACACTCAACCACTGAGCCACGCCGGCCAGGCTTACGGTACAGACTTTAAATACCTAAAGAGCTGTTCTGGAGCAGAGGGAGCCTACGTGATTGGTGTAAACTCAAGAGCAGAGCAATGGGGCAGTTACAAGGAAGCAGAGTTTGGACATACACACAAAAACGGCTTTTTCACACTTGGAGCCATTTAGCGATTGAAGACGGGGCCTAGGAAGAAAGTGAACCTGCCAACAGCAAGGAAGAGTCAAGCAGAGGCTGCACAGGGCTTGAGGCTTTGGACTGAACAACCTCTGAGATCTGCTCCAACTTTAGGACTTGAGGATTCTAAGCATTTAGCAACTCTGGAAGCTTTGTTTCTTGATAACTACCCTCTCATCCCAATAAACTCATCCACCGAGTAGCCACGGTAGAGAGCCCAAAGTCTTTCTTCCTGCCTTCTCTTCCCAACATTATTAGGACAGAGCCAACACATATGTGCACCTAGGTTTAGAATTCTGGGGTGTTGGAATCCCGGGTCTTTAGAATCCTGGGGTATTGTAATCTGGGATCATTAGAACACTGCAGTGCTAGAATCCTGGTACAAAAGATTTGAAACAAATAAGACAAAATGTGTATAATGGTTTGTTGATTATTCTCTGTACTTTTCTGAATCTTTACATTGCTCCCTCCATTTTTTTTTAAAGACTCCCAGAGCATCTGGAATCAGAACATCGGGGCTGGAAGGGAAATTGTCTGATCCAGGCCCTCAGCTTAGCTGAGGACATCGAGGCCCTGGTGGGGGGAGAGGGAGGCCAAGGCCAGACTCCGGAATCGACTCCCAAGGTGCGCTCTCTACCCCAGCACATGGAAACCAGGAAAGGAGAAAGCAACTTTGGTCAGGACCAGCATGAGGGCAGCTGGGTCACCTGCAGCCTGGCCTATCATGTGTCCACCCTCCTGGGCTGGAAAGATCCTCCCCAGAACCACAATCGCTAGGCACTAAGGTACTGACAGTGCTGGGAAGGGCTGCCAGAGAGGGCTGGGCCTCAGGGGCTCTGGACAGGCCTGTCACTGCCCTTAAAGACTGAAATGTTATCAGCCACCTACACCCCCCACGGCAGAGCCAGGGAAACTTGGGCCCAGCTAAGAACAGAGTTGTAGGGAAGGGGTAGGATCCAGGGTAGAGACTAAAGTGGCCAAAGACAGAGACTGGAAGTCGTAGGATGTAGAAATGTGGGTCTGGGGGGGGGGGGGGGTGGAGCCAAGCTAGACACCAGGACCTAGGTGTTCCCAACTCCTCTCCACCAAAGGCCTCAGAATAGCAAGTAGTGGCCAAGAGTCCTGAGCCCACAGCTTAGTATCAGTCAGACCTACAGACAGCTGCTGAGCCGGGGCTATTTTGGGGGAGATTTCCATGAGCAATGAGCAATGGGGCAAAGCCCAAAGGGGGCATCGAGCCTCTGGCCTCTCCTCTTCTAGCCCGAGATGCCAAGCGGGTAGGCAAAGAAGGAGTGATTTAGGAACTAACTCCAGCCCAAAACATATCTGCCACAAATGCACCCCAGTGCCTGGAGGTCCTTCTTTGGAAAAGGCATTGAAGAACTCTGTTAAAATGCTACAACTAGGAGAGACAGATGAATTCAATGCACTTTGCATTTGACAGACAGCATCTAATCTGTGTCTAGAAAAGGAAAGGGACTCAAGAAAGATGTTAGAATGAAAGAGTTTAAAGAATAAAAGCAAATTTGACACCAAGACTGGCAAGGAGAGGGACATGACAACAAGGTCCCTTCCCTCATAAAGGCGCAGTAAATAAACAAGCAAATACAGTTTTTAAGGCCATGAAAGATTGTGGCGCATGCTATGAAAGAACTTAAACAGAGTAATGCTGTGGAGAGTAATGTGGCTGGACTCTATTCTAGCTGGACAGGGTGAGCCTCTTTGAAGAGGTGACTTTCAAGGTGGG